TGCCTTAGCACTGAAGAAATCAAGTGTTGGAGGTTATGTGATATTTCCAAATCACTTTGAAACAATTAGGTTCCAAAAGATTCTTTTTTTTTTTTCGTTTTCAGTTCCCCAAACTTCGTAGCATATGTCATTTTAAAACAAGATGATGATAAAGGGAAACAATAAATAAAATATATTAAATTGTAATCTAAGTGGCCTTTTTTGAAAGTTAGACAGGAACTGGAGAAAGGCCTGGCTTTTCAGAAAGCTATATAAGCTAGGCATAGTGGCATACACCTGTAGTCCCTACAAAAAAATGTTGTCTTTAAAAACAAAAAAGGTGTGGGCTGGGCGCAATGGCTCATGCCTATAATCCCAGCACTTTGGGAGGCTGAGGTGGGCGGATCCTGAGATCAGGAGATTAAGACCATCCTGGCTAACATGGTGAAACCCTGTCTACTAAAAATACAAAAAATTAGCTGGGCATGGTAGCATGCACCTGTAGTCTCAAGTATGCGGGAGGCTGAGGCTGGAGAATCGCTTGAACCTGGGAGGCGGAGGTTGCAGTGAGCTGAGATAGTGCCTTTGTACTCCAGCCTGTGTGAGAGAGCAAGACTCCATCTCAGGGAAAAAAAAAAAAAAGTGTGTAAAGCAGAAATTTCCAGAAACTGTCCTTGCTTTAGACTTCTCACTGCATCTTAGTGGCTCTTTTCTTCTACCCCTGGGGTCTTTGGATGAGGTGTCTGCTAGGCAGGAAGGTGTCAGCTCCCATCTGGGATGGGATGGGATAGGGGTGAGATCAGCCTTTCCAGCTAGTGAACCTTAGAAATTTCTTTTTTTTTTTTAAGACGGGCTTTCACTGTGTTGGTCAGGCTGGTCTTGAACTCCCGACCTCAGGTGATCTGCCTGCCTTGGCCTCCAAAGTGCTTGGATTACAGGCATTAGCCACCACGCCTGGCCTTACCTTGGAAATTTCTTTAGCTATTTTAGGAAACTCTCAGGAAGGCTCAGTGTATTCAGAGGGGGTTTCCCTACTTAGGATTTTGAGGAGGCAGTCACTGGTTAGCCTTGCAAAGGAGATTCCATCTTTTTTTTTTTTTTTTTTTTGGAGACGGGGTTTCACCATGCTGGCCAGGAAGGTCTCGATATCTTGACCTTGCTATCCGCCCGCTTCAGCCTCCCAAAGTGCTGGGATTACAGATGTGAGCCACCGCACCCGGCCCTAGATTCCATCATTTCTTACTTCCGCTAGAATCCCCAAGTTGCTCCCAAATTTGGAGCTTTTGAATTAAATGTGTCACATTGTAGGGCATCTTCCTAGAAGACATAAAGACCTGCCCTGGCCAAACATGGTGGCTCATGCCTCATAATCCCAGCAGTTTGGGAGGCCGAGGCAGGCAGATCACTTGAGGCCAGGAGTTGAGACTAGACTGGGCAACATGGTGAAATCCCATCTCTACAAAACTGCGAAAATTAGCCAGGCATGGTGGTGTGTGCCTATAGTCCCAACTACTCTGGAAACTGAAGTGGGAAGATCACTTGAGCCCAGGAGGTCGAGGCTGCAGTGAGCTGAGATTGCACCACTCCAGCCTGGACAACAGAGCGATAACCTGTCTCAAAAAAAAAAAAGATCTGTCCTTATGCCTTTTTTCCTTCCAGCAAGCGGCTGGATTACGTGAACCATGCCAGAAGACTGGCTGAAGATGACTGGACAGGGATGGAGAGTGAGGAGGAAGATAAGAAAGATGATGAAGAAATGGACATTGACACTGTCAAGAAGTTACCAAAACGCTATGCTAATCAAGTAAGTGGTCCGGAGAAGATTAGACCCAGCTAATCTTATTCCATTTTCTATGCAGTCAAAGCCCACTGAAATCAACGCTGTCATAAAACAGGAACTGCAAAGAACATGCTGATATATGCAGAGCATATGGAACGTAAGGAGAGGGGCTGACAGTGCTGTGACTGACTAGGAATCACTGGAGTCTGTGGGTAGAGGGGTTTGGGAACCGCTAGCCCATGCTGTTACCAAAGCCTGCCAGCCCACTGCAGAAAGCCCCTGAGCTGTTGACAGAGTAACAGACTCCATATCCTTGTGATTTTTTCAGTTGTCACTGCACAGCTGTTGTGGATTGGGCCTGCCCAGCCTACCACTGGCTCCTGCCACTTCCCTGGGTGGTAGAATCTTTCCCAGGCAGTGCTCTATGAGGCCAGTCTTGAAATTTCACACTCAGGTGGTGGCAGGTGGGAAGTACAGCTGCCCTTGAATGAAGTGAGCCTGCCCAGCCACTCCAGCCCAGCCAGCTGGCCAAGGTGAGGTTCAGGCCATGGAACAGCAGATCAGTATAATCAACCTGACTCAGTGCCCTTTTAGATCCAGAGAGGAAACCAACATGGCTGTGGTGGCACAGGGAAACAGGCGTGGAGAGAGACTGTCCTTGTGTTCCAGGCAGCTCAGGTATTCCAGAAAGCAGGGTGTGGGTCCAAGCTGGGGCAGGGCTCTACCCTGCTATCATGTACTTGTGTCTAGAACCCATGTCTTGTCATCTCAGAATTCTCCCCTGCCTTTAGAATATGGTTCCTGGGGCTGAGTGTGGTGGCTCATACCAGTAATCCCAACACTTTGGGAGGCCAAGGTGGGAGGATTATTGAAGCCAGGAGTTCAAGACTAACCTGGCCAACATAGTGACACCCCATCTCTTTTTTTTTTTTTTTTTTGAGACTAAGTTTCTCTCTTACTGCCCAGGCTAGAGTGCAGTGGTACAATCTTGGTTTACTACAATCTCTGCTTCCTGGGTTGAAGCAATTCTCCTGCCTCAGTTTCCTGAGTAGCTGGTATTACAGACGCCTGCTACCACGCCCAGCTAATTTTTGTACTTTTAATAGAGACAAGGTTGACAGGGTTGAGGTTGGCTCAACCATGTTGGCCAGGATGATCTCGCACTCCTGACCTCAGGTGATGCACCCACCTTGGCCTCCCAAAGTGCTGGGATTACAGGCATGAGCCACTGTGCCTAGTGAGACCCCATCTCTTAAAAAAAAATGAGAATATAGTTTTTGGGTACACTCCCATAGCCCCTTTCTTTACCTCAAATATAGTACAGATCAGATGCTCTCTGGGTGTGGTGGCTCACGCCTATAATCCCAGAACTTTGGGAGGCCGAAGCGGGTGGTTCATGAGGTCGGGAGTTCGAGACCAGCCTGGCCAACATGGTGAAACCCCATCTCTACTAAAAATACAAAAATTAGCCAGGCCTGGTGGTGGGTACCTATGATCCCAGCTACTTGGGAGGCTTAGGCAGGAGAATCACTTGAACCCTGGAGGCAGAGGTTGCAGTGAGCCAAGATTGTGCTACTGCACTTAAGCCTGGGTGACAGAGCAAAACTCTGCCTCAAAAAAAAAAGAATCCTCTGTGACAAAGTACAATTCAATTTTGTTCAGTAAGCATTACTGAAAGACCTGCTCTGTGTTAAGGTATGACATGGGAAGGTAGACGTGAACCACACATAGCCCCTGTACTCCTAGAATAGGTGTAGAAGATGATTTGTGCTGTAAAAGAGCGTGATTCCTTCCAACCAGGGCAGGAGTGGGTGTGAAATCAGAGAAGGGTTGGTGAAGGAAGAGGCAGTCATGATGGCTGGGTAGGACGTTAATAGACAGATGTGCAGAGAATTGTTGGTGAAGGAAAAGCAGTCTTGACGGGTGGGTAGGACATTAATAGACAGAAGTGCAGCTCATTCTAGGGTATTCTGGGCAGTGGGAACAACAGGCTGAGTGTGAGGCCCGGAAGCAGGAAAGGAGTATATGGTGTGCTCGGGAGCAGTTTGCAGGCCAGTTAGGGTGGAGCGGCCTAGAGTTGGGGGAAGGAGTATGGCAGAAGAGATGTAAAGGGCCTCAGAAATATGTGCAGGGGCCGGGCGTGGTGGCTCACTCCTATAATCCCACCATTTTGGGAGGCTGAGGCCAGGAGTTTGAGACCAGCCTGGCCAGCATGGTGAAACCCCATCTACTAAAAATACAAATATTAGCCAAGTATGGTGGGCACCTGTAATCCCAGCTACTCAGGATGCTGAGGCAGAGAATCACTTGAACCTGGGAGGCGGAGGCTGCAGAGAGCCGAGATTACAACACTGCATTCCAGCCTGAGCGACAACACTAGCCTCCATCTCAAAATATATATATATGTGCAGGGAGGCCAGGTGCAGTTGCTCACACCTGTAATCCCAGCACTTATGGAGGCCAAAGCAGGAGGATTGCTTGAGGCCAGGAGTTCAAGACCAGCCTGGGTAATATAGGAAGACTCCATCTCTATGAATAATAAAAAATAAATGAAATAAATAAAAAGGAAATGTTGCCAGGTGGAATGGAAGAACCTAGCAGTGGACTGGATATGAGAGGCGGTATGAGCAGTGGTCAAGGCTGTAAGC